GGGGGGACGCAGTGGTGCAGCTGCACCCCCTTTTGGATTGGACTGCACCATGGGAGCCTCTGCGGACTTCTTTAAGCCCCTAAAGGAGGTGAATATCCCCCTCCCTTCCTCTTCTCCCCTTCCTCTCCAGCTGCCGCTCTTGCTTACCTTGCAGAAGTGACAGAGCTGTTCCTGCCCACATTGGTGGGGGTGGAAGAGGCTGGGAGCAGGGGGTGCTGCCACCCCTGCACTGTAGGTTGCTGTTCCTGCACCCCACTCTGGAAAATCCCGAATCCACCCCTGATTAGGGACATGCATTCTTGCCTGCTTTTTTAAAGTCAGCTTCACATTAAAATATTGTGGTCCATCAATAATTGACCTTGCAGAGTCTAATTTGCCAAATGGCCTAAGTCAGCTAAAGGGTGGAGCCAGCTGAGGGGCTGAAATCTTTTTTGCAGACCGTACCCAACCTGAGATCTCGAGAGCACTGAGGCAGAGACCTGTGAAACAGCAGGCTAAGTGGGAAGAGTTGTTGATGGGTTAAACACGGGTTTAGGCCTTCTGTAGGCGTGAGCTCCACATTTATAATGCATTGGTCATGAACAGCTGGTAGCACAGGGAGGTGATGTCTGTGGCTCCCCTCTTGTAGCCAGATTATGTGGCTGCCTTTTCCTCCTCTTAGCTGCTGTTTCACTGGTGTCAATCTTCCAAGGGGCCAGAAATGCTCATGTTCCCTATTGCTTTGTCTTTAAACTGCCCCTTGTTACCCAAACATGATGATGGCAGTCATTGTTCTTGGCACCCTTCCAGCCATTAACAGTTGACAGCCCTTACCCAGTCATGTGCACCATGGAGCTGACTGCTTGCCTGGGTGTTTTGGGGTGGCCTGTTCAGCTAAGCAGTGGTACTCAACATCTGGCTCACAGGCCAGATCCAGTCCGCAGAGCCGTGTCAGTTCAGCATGTGGGTCTCTCCATAGGTCTGGAAATTTGGCAGTGGGGGAGTGATGACAGCATTAATCACTGCACCCTTTTTGGCATTTTTCTGGAGCCTTGTGGGCCGATGACATGGCCCTACGTGCTAGAGCACACACGTGCTTCGTCAGGCCAGTGGATGGCGTCACTCTGTGGCCACATCTAGGCACGTGGGGTCTCTCCGCAGCCGGATCGCACCCACAGACTGGCCCTGGTCCCCTCATCTGACCTGTAGAGATGAAAGGTTGAGCCCCACTGACCTAAAGCATTTGCTCTGTGTGAAATGTCTATGACCTGCTACTCTTCACCAGCTTCTTGGCTTAAATGCCTTTTTGTGTTTCTCTTGCAGACTGAAGTCCCAGGAGAACTGTTAATTTGAGGATAGCAGAAGGCATTGTATTATATTTTGCCAAATTAAAGCCTTATTTATGTTTTCACCCTTTCTACTTCGTCAGAGACACTGAACAGAGTTTTGTCTTTTCTAATCCTTGTTAGACTACTGATTTAAAGAAGAAGAAAACTCTGTAGACACCTCCAGAGTTTAGTTTTATAATAAAAATTGTTTGGATAATTAGACCTTTACATTCCTGGAGATACAGTAAACATGTAATCTTTTATCTTATTTTGCTCAATAAAACTTGTTCAGAAAAGAATCCAGCGTGGTAAAAGGCAACAATGAACTATAACATTTTAATACTGGTGTTGTACACTGTTTTACTTAGATACATTTTTGGGAGTAGCTGCCTCTGACTTCAGCCTCAAGTAAACACTCCTTTTTTTTGGTTGCTAATGTAATCAGTTTTTGTAATGGTGTCAGCAAATAAAGGGATGCTTATTATTCAAGGAGCACTTCTTCTTATGTTGTTATTGAACATTACTGCGATAATAGCACATGACGAAGTGGCTAGCACCCGTTCCACTATAATACCCACTGGGAAACTTGGGTGAAGGTTTCACCTGCTCGTTTTGATGGGGGGGAAAGATGCTGTGTATAATGTGCAGGCGCTTGGCTAGGCTGCCTGCGGCTATCCAGGATAACTCGTGTACATCTCCAAAACAGCGGCGGGCTACAGGGGAGCCGTGGGACCCGACAGCGGAGATGTACTAAGTTAAGACAGACCCCTGCTTTGTGTTAAAATGAATTGAGGTTGCAGTGTAGGTGGTGGCGATGCTGGTTGAAAGTCTGGGGAGCTAAACGTTTGGGATAAATATTTTGATTGCTTTCCAACCTCTTTTTTGGGGGGGCAGCATCTTGTCCCTGGACTGTAACATCAGTTCAGTCACGCCCCAAAGTAAATTGATAAATATGGCTGCCTCAGGCACTTCAGATACCAGTTATAATTTAGAGTGAATGTCTTCAGTTTGTTCGTGGCAAGAAGTATTGCTTGCTCAGAGCACTCAGATGCTGGGCTGAGTACAAGGGGTGCAGTTTGCCTTCCAAGCCTCTACAGCAGGTTTTCAACCTTTTTTAAGGAGAGTACCCCTTCTGGTGGGTCCCTCTCCTGGTGGGTCCCCCCTTCTGGACGTGGAGCAGGGGGTAGTCCCCTGGCAGCTGAACGTGAAGCAGCACAGCAGCACACGGCGACACTTTCCAAGTAGCCCCACTTCTCTGCCCTGCTGACGTGTACCCCCAGGGGTAGGCATACCCCTGGTTGATAACCCCTGCTCTAGAAAAAGAGAACTTTCTCCAAAACTGGCCCCTTACCCAGTTGTGTGACCATCATCAGCCCGCAGGACAAATCTGCTGTGTTCTCATCCTTGGGAGAGTCTCTTTGGAGGTTCAGTTATTCAGTAATTTGCTGGCCCAGGGATTTGGTGAATGTCTGCTTCACTGCAGAGCAGAGCTGGAAATGATTTGGAACCGAGGCTCTTTTCTTACCTGCTAATATATGATAGTCAGCTGCACAGTGAGATTAGCTGGGCCCTTTTTTCCCCCACAGCCCTGGGTGTTTAAAAGGTGCCTCTTACCTGAGCTCTGTAATGCACAGGGGCTTAAGCAGCCCTATGGGCACTGTTAAATCAGTGCGAATATCTCATTTTTTCTTAACTTTTCAATAACCCTTCACAATGCTACAATCTCTGAGGAGAGAGATTGAAGCAGTTGGGGGCTCAAATGAAATAATTGTGGAGGTTAGAAGTGGCTGAAAGAAAAGCGTGCAGAAAGCTCAGTCCCTTGCCATTGTGGGATTGTTTCCTGCAGTACCTTTGCCAGGATTTCATCCAGTCTAGTTTAAGGGAATGACGGTGTGTGGGAGGCTTCTGATGACATGGGGTCATTGTTTTCCTGTTGCATGTCTGTAAGATTGCAAAACCTGTTTTGATCTGCAAGACTGATCCCTGTTGGTGTGTTCAGAGCAGGGGCAGCATACAGTGTCATTTACTGTTGTTATTATTTCACCTGTCTTGGTATAAAAGCCCAATTTTTTTTAAACCTAGGGCAATTAGACTTGATTAAAAATAGTAGGTTCCTTGGAAACTTATTTTGTGTGAACTTTGAAATGCCTTAAATGGAAAAAGCTGTCAGTGTGGTAGAGGTGATATCTTTTATTAGACCAACTAGATAGTTGCAAAAAATATTTTTCTTTAAAAGAAATAAAGAATTTTGTTTGCAAGTATCTAGTTGGTTTAATAAAAGATATCGCTTCTACCACACTGACCACTTTTGCTTTTTAGACCAACACAGCTACAACCTTTATCCCTTAAATAGAAAAAAAACCTCTTAGAAAGTAGCATTCATCTCATGTAAACCCCCCCCCAAAAAAAAACAACCCCCCCGAGCAACACCCCTCCCACCCCAAAATGCAAACCCTTACTCAATGAGACAGCACTTCTCCCTGGAAGTGGATGTCGCTGGAAGTAGCTTTGAGAGAAGTACAAGACAAGGAAAAGCCTCTTGATTCACTCGGTGACTTGAAAACTTCTTAGGTTTCATATTCCTCCCATTTCTGACCAACATACCCCTTGCTGTTAGAGCTGGATGTGTGTTTTGAACAGTAAGTTCATTGAAAAAAATGGTTGTCACAAAACTAGCTGCAAATTTGACCCACAAAAAAAAAATCCTAGGCTGGTGCCTGAGCTGCAGGGCTGTAGGGTGATATGAGCCAGGGGTCTCCCTCGGTTCCTTCTTTGGAGCTGTTTTACACTAAAAGACAGCTGCAGGCATTGAGCATGACTGTCTTGGGGGTTGGGCTTTGGGAATCCAGCCTTCGGTCTGCACCGGGCGCTGTCCGCTTATTTGCAGCAGACGAGGTGAAACGAGACTGGCCCATCGCAGCGGCCCTGAGAGCCTGGGCGAGAGCTGTTGCCTCCTGTCCCCTCCGTAGCTTGTTTACTTTGCTCAGCAATGGCTGATGCTGCACAGTGGGAGAAGGGGAGACCCAAGGGGCCATGACCAGTACCCTAGAAATACTTGTCCTTCAGCAGCTGAGGATTATTCGGTTGCAGAGAAAATATACTGAGAGAGCAGTAAGATCGGTTGACAATCTAGGCCTTGATGTTCTTTACTGTCCTCGGAAGAGCCTGAAACAAAAGGGGTTTTAGTTTGTTCTGTAAATGACACTTAGGTTTGTCTTGATCTCAAACCAAGACCTTGGGTGGCCGAACCGAAATAAAGCTGCCTGGGGCTTGGCCAAGCCCCTTCCATTGGATTCTGTCTCTAGTAGCACAGACAGGGAAGCTGCTCCATGCTCTGCTCTGGGAAACTTGATCCTTGGGCAGCCACGAGCCAAACCTCTCTCCATCTCTACCTTCAGGGCTCTGCCCTTGGGGAACCTGCCCATGACGTCTTTCCCTTGAGTTCCCCCATCCCTGGTGGACAAAGCCAGGAGTAGGAAGACTGCTAGGAGCTGAGTGCAGGCTGCTGGGCCTTTTGGCTGGTACCCGATGCTCAGTTCTCCCAGTGATGGGGCAATTGGGATGGGTGTGGGAGAGCTCAACCTCCCTGTGGGTTTTTTCCTTCTTTCCCTGTTGGAGGAATGGCATCTTCCAGCATGACTTCCATGCTCCACACTGCTGGGCTTGTCCCACTGCTTGGGAGCCCTGGGCACAGCACCTCTTAAACCCATGTGGTGTGCTTGAATGTGAACCTTGGCCACGTGAGAAGTTGGTGCCTGCTGGAAGAGCAGGAAAGTCACAATTGCTGAGCAGTGCTGGTGCATGGCTTGGCTTGCATCCACTTGGAGCCTTTCCCAACTTGCTGCAAGCGTGCGGTGCTGGCTTGCCTTGACCCTGCTGGGCCCTCTGAAAGGCTGGCTAGACCTAGGAGAGCTTCTTCACTGAGCTTTGCAATGGCAAAGTATAAGTGTTATAATAGGAGAAGAGGGGAAAGGCAAGGTCCTGCCAAATAGCTTAGGGTAAAAACAGATGTCCTTTAGGGATGAAGTCTTTTGAGGTGGGATCCTGGAGCCCATTGTCCCACTTTAAGGACCTGTGAACACTTTCCCAGGACAAGGGGAGCTAATTGGAGTTAATTGCCATTCAAGCTGCACATGTATATGACTGGCCTACACTGGTCTTGATGGGAGTCGGACCTGGGACAAACCTGATGTCCTGTACTCTTTTTGCAGAAGCCAAAGCCTGCTGGGTCACAGGAAGTCTGCTGGGAAGTCCTCATTCTGTGATAAAAGCCCAGGTGCCATCTTTGATTTAATAACATCAATTGTTAACAGCCTTGGGGGAAACAAAAAGGATCTTAAAAGCAAGGCTCTCGCGTGGTTGTGCCTCGGGGCATCCTGGTGGCCCCTCGGTAACCGGGCTGTTCAGCAAGGTGTGGGCAAGGCTGCAGGATGGGGCTGGGGAAGTGAGGAGGCAGAAATGGCACCAGTGCCTGTGGGTCGTGCAGAGCCTGGAGCAGCAGGGCTCGGCCCATCAGTGCTGGCTCTGCTGGTGCAACCGTTCGGTTCTCCTTCCACGAAATAGCTGCCTTGGGTCTCTGCTTTGGGGAACCTGCACGGTTTCCTGCTCCTTGCGGAGGCTTCCTCAGCCTGACCAAGAGTATTTGTGCCCAAATGCTTGCAAAGAAGACTTTTTTTTTTTTAACTATTTGAGTCTGTCTAATAAAAGATATCAGATTTACCCAAAGAACCTTGTCTGTCTATGTCCTTAGACCAACACGACTACAATCAACACCCCTTTAAAACCAGGTAGCGCTTGCAATGGTTTTTTGGGGCTGCGGTTGGTCATGTCCTGCCAGCTGCCTTCTCCTGTTGTGTTTTTTGCAGTGATGCGGTGTGCCGGTCCTCAGTTCCTTGCTGTCCTGTGCCTGGTTCTTCCTGTTGTTCAGCTGCACACCTTTGGCCTTTCCATGCCTGGAGCCCCTGACATGTTATGTTTAAGGCATGAACTCACTTGTCACATCTCGAATAGTGACCCAGCCACAAAGCCATGAATAAGTGACAAAGTCATTACAAAATCTGTGTAATAACTTTGCTGCTGGTTTCTGTTGTGCCACTAATTGAATGTGTGGCCTGTGCTCCCGGCCTCTGGGACATGCTCCCATGTACTCCAGGGGCTGGGACCACCAGTCCCCTGCTCGGGTCCCTGCTGGGGGAGTGCAGTGAGCTCCCCCTGCACCAGCAATATTGCATGATGGGGTCTGATGCCTCATTCCTGCCATGCATGCATAGCATGGCAGGAAGCCTGATCATGTGGATGGCACATCAGATCCCATTGCACCTTTTTAATGTCTATTAGTAGCCTGAGAAGCCATCTTCGTCCTAGAATAACATCCTTAGATAGGAGGCTGCCTGCTCTTTACTTGACTTTTCCACTTTCCCTCCATATAAGGGAGGAGGTGCTAGACTCAAGGCCCCCCTCCGAAAATGCCAGGTCTCAATTTTGACTACAGA